GGCATGCCCCGAGCCCAGCAGTAACAAAGAAAAGTTCAACAAGTAACTTCAGGGAAAGCTGGATACTACTAAGGCTAGAATTGCTGCAGCAAAGCTGGAGCACAAGTTCCGACTACCTTCACTGGTGGCAAGAAGGAACTGAGGGTGGAGGGAGCACGCAGCTCCCTTTATAGCGCGATATGTCGGCGCCACTCCAGGGGTCGCAGTGGTGCTCCCCCATTACGGATGCTGCTAAGGGAAAAACTTCCGGCACCAGTGCACATGGCGAGCACGCACACATACTGTGGACTACCCAGGAGCAATCACTCGAAGAAGAAATTAAAGTCGCAATCAAATATTCAGACTCACTAAAAACAAAAGAAAAAAATAATAAAAGTCTGAAGGAGGGGTGTGTATATATTGTGCTAAGAATATATCTTGCAGTGAGAAAATGAATTGTGCTGCAGACACTACCATCTTAATATCAGAGGGAAAAGGACTAGCAACAGGAACAAGGACCTTAATATTGCGTCACATCTCCCTTGTAGGGAAACCCACTATAAATTACATGTTCTTTCTTTCACAGTGTAGAAGGCAAGTGGATGAGTAAGACAACATAGATAAGATCATTGGGTGCTATTATATTATTAAATTGGCCACAAAAGATACGCTAAAATTTGAGAAGGTGGTTGAGGTAGAACTGAAACAACAGTCTTCCGAAGACACTTCAATTGAACCTGCAAGACTGACTTCCTTACCTTTGAGAAATGTTAAGAGTAGCTTAATCACCTGAATTTACTGATATTGTGAAGTGCAATGATAGTTACCATGAATTAATACTTCCAAGCAAAATATCTGAGATCACAAAAATCATGTTGCTCAAAGAGATAATTTATCAACTTTGCAAAGAACACACTGATATCCTTTGACAAAACATCGGCTTTTTAACAGGAGATTTCAAAAGTTTAAGCTTTGAAATAAATCTAACAACTAGAACCTGGATTGGCTGGTGGAAAGCCAAAACACCAACAACCTAGCTCTCATCGAACGTGTCTGAGGACTAACTGGATAACTGTAAAAGGTATTACAGCAATTTCTGAAGGAAACAAGTGAAGGGATTTAGCTGTTTGGACTTATAGAAATGCTTTCATTTAAATGTTCCATACCATCGCACTAAATTCCTTGCAAGTAATTCTGCAATACCCAAATTCTCAGAAATGGTGCAGGGAGTGAAAGAGATGCCAAGCTGGAAAAGAGAGCTTACTAGCATTGACTGTGCGCTTATCCCCAGCAGAAGTGCCTTAACCAATACGCTACATTCACAAAGACTGAACAGTTGTCCTTTTAAGATTGACTGGGCTCACCTAGTGTTATTGGAGGAGACATAGTATACACACAAACACTATTTCCTCATCATAAAGTAGAATGTAGCCACTACTCATTCACTAATATAATGAACTTGCTAATGTAACAATTTAGCGCTCATGGTCATGGCAAACTTAACCACATAATCATTTCGGGCTTAATCAAAAACCCATTGAAATAATGGACTACCATCGGCTCTTGCTTAAGAAAGAAATTCCTGCACTTGAAATATGTTTATCAGGGCCCCTCTGAATTCCATTTGTTACCAGAGATTACAGTGGATGAGATTTTGTAATTTAATAAGAGATTTATTAGACCAGTGCACTGGTGGGAAGACTTGCAGATCACAAATCCTTCCAAAGTTCTACCATTTACTAGTCAATGAGTGAAGAAAAACAGATACATACTCAACCAGGGAAAACATGAAGCAAACACCATGTATGTGGAGCCAATATCTGAACTACCTCACATTTAAATAGGAAAATGTTGAATTTTTATTATAAAGCTCACATTCCCAACAGAGGTTCAAAGTCTCTTGACTTCTTCACTATTAAGTAGAATCTTTTTCTTCTAGTAGCTCCAAGGTTGTCACCACAACTAAAAAAATTAGTGTACTAATAAAATACGAATGCTTGCTGATATTTTCTTCCCTTATTTGCCAATACATTCTGATTATGAAAAAAACCCTCTCTGGATGAGTAAAATATATCTGTAAAAATTATTACCAAGCCCCAGTCCAAGAAAAATTAGGTGATAAGTGCAGATTGTTTGCTGTTATAGAAGCAGGAAAAATTCCCAGTTAAATTTCTTGCTAATACTTATTTATATATGAAGGCAATTTGCTGGGAATTACAAGACTTGTAGTTTTTATTTCTGAGCAGCCAGCTGTGACCAGGGGCCAACAAGTTTAAATAACTGTGCATAAAGTTTTAACTGAACAGCAGCAATGCAACACAGGCTGACACTGGGTTTTAGGCTATTTTCCAATATGACCATATTAAAGAAAGTTCTACTGATAAAATTCATTTCATAGGTTTTTGTCATAAACATGAGATATTTTTTCCATCAATAAAAAATGCTTTTCCTATTGTGAAAGGGAATGGAGTGAAGCATACTGTGAAAGTGTGTGAGAGAAAAAAGAAGAAAAAGCAGATGACCCAAAGAAAACATAAAGATGATTACCAATTGGTAGGCTTCTGCGAGGTAGGGTGTTGAACACCTGATTCTCAACATTATTCCCAGGTCTTTGACTGCAATGGCATACCCTTCCCCATTCCCTGTCTCCACTTTACATTTACCTTGCAAAAAAATTGATTGAAAAAAGTTTTGCAGCAGGTGGGGATCAAACTTTCCACTATCTAACAGAATTGTTTTTTCATGTGGCACACCTAGAAGGTACAATAAGGACTCAACAACTCTGCCCCTCCAGCAAAGCTAACACAGAGTAGAAGAAAAAGGCCCCAGGGTGCACCATCAATAATCCTAGCAGTGCACTGAAAGTTACATTCACACTGATGATTCTTATATTTACCTCTATAGGAGAATGCATGTGAGGGAAGGTGGAAACTTGTGAAAAAGTTTTAATGAGAATGTTGCATGATACAGAATGCCATTTTGATATGGTACACAATTTTTTTTCATCCTTCAGACTGAAAAAGTGTATTTTTGAATCACTATATTTAAAGAAAAATCTATTTATAGATATATAACTGATTAAATGCAAGCATTGCTTCAAATTTGCAGTTAAAATTTCTACATAGTTTAGCTATGTTTGTATTTGTTGGAAAATGCAATAAAGTATTAACAAAAATGGAGAGGCTGAAAGAAAGTCCTTTCTTTTGACTCAATAGCATGAAAATCTTATCACTGTTCTTCATGATGTCTTCACCTGCCCCTTCAACAATGCATAGGTTACTTTGACTTTTAGTGACCTTTCTGAAAGCTGGTATCCACCCAGTTTGAACCAATGGCAAAGTTGATGGGATTTAACTATGAAAAATACCACAGTTCTACCCCATTAGTGTCACAAAATGTCACCCTCAATTCCATACTTGTTGCTCTGCCTGCACCTCATAATGATAATGAGACAGCAGTTATGTAAATATTGAATATGTGCCCTAAGCAATTTGTTCACAACGTGGTACAGCTTGTCTGACTTGAAAATTAAGGCTACAATAAATTCTAACACAAAACTGCTAGTGAAGGTGAACATTCCCTCATGAGCATAGCCAGATAAGCCATGTGGTTGACAAAACATATCAATGTAGAGCCAAGAACCTAACTTTATCCAAGTTCTAATGTTATTTCACTGCACCCTTTTGACCTCTTAACTGCAAAGAGCAAAAGAACTTTAAGCACTGACATTACCTATCTGAATGGACATGTCCACTGCATAAAAACTATTCATAAAGTCGTATGAGTAAGTTGCCCTAAAAGGAGGGGACAGACTAAATCTTGGTGTTACTGACATTCTCTCCTAACCTCTTCAGGGAAAAACAGACTGCAGGCCAGATCTTAGCAGAAGTCTAGGAAGATGGGAGAAAGAAAGGAGCAAGGTCACTTTATAGTCAGACTCTAGACAAGTAGGCTTCTATGTCGAGAGTTCAGAGGACATAGCCCAGAATCTCTTATGGTGGCTCTGCAGGACAAATCCTCCATTGGCCAGATCTGCTAGCTCAAGGGTAGCTTTGTAGCATAAGACTGTCACAAAGCTGCCCTAAGAGACACGATTTGATTCAACTCATGCAGTTCACATTTATACAGAAAACTGAGGTTCTGCTATGAAAATTGACTGTAAAAATGGCATTGTGGGGGCTCACATTTATTGTAGGAAATATTGCTGGTTTATAACTAAAAAGGTATAACTGACTTGCTATGTAACTGGAAATGATTAGACAATCCTGTTGGAAATGCAGAACATGGAATTGGATCCACCTTATGCTTTCTTAGATGTGCTGGCTTGGCAAGGCTAGCAGGAGTTAAAAGTAGTAAAATTTATTTCAGTCACTGAAGTCAGTGGATATGACTGGATACAAACAGGAAATAGTAGGTATGCTTAGGAAGAAGATATACTTTTACACTGTCGCCTTTTAGAGTAGAACTGCACATTAAGATTATTTATTTAAGCATAGTACATTTTGCTTGAGATAGTAATTACTCATATTTTGGAGAAATTTGGCTTAGGTATATTGCAAAACTACATGAGATACATGAAGGAATTTTTAAAAGAGACATTAGAAAATAACTAAATTAACCATTATTAAAAAGGAAAGGAACTAGGGAACTAAAGTCTTGTAATTATTAAAAAAAATATACTTTAACCAGTAAATATCTAATCAGTTATTAAGCAAGCCAATACTTTAAAAACATCTAATAAAATCTATTCTGACCTTGATTTTATAAAAACTAATTTATTAAAGTAAAACAATTCCATTTATTTTCATTTAATGCACTGGAAATGTTTGGCTAAATAGCTAATTAGTTATTCTGCTACTGATATATAATGGACTGAAACTCTGCTAAGAATGAATCAGAGGCATTTAAACCAGATAAGTGCTTATCTGACTATGTTCAAGTCAATATGATATCATCCTCAACAGTTCCTGTGGAAGACACAATGATATATTGAAACAAATGCTCCTGAAATAATTCTGTACCTCTACAGAAGCCTCCAGAAGTGATCTCTTCTTCAAAAGCATCAGAGAACCCTCTTCCTGCATTTAGCTTTGCTAGTCGACCATCAATAAACTGGAATATAAAAAACATTAGTCAAAACTATGTTGACCTTTTCTTAGGTTTCATGTAAAATATCTATGTTAACAAGAATATAACAGATCACAAGAATGCTGTAATAATTTTGGATAGATATTGTAACAGTGGATATAAAGACAAGTGGCAGAAATATTATCACCATTGTACCGGTGGTTTTAGTATTCTCTACTAGTGTTGTTTGTTGTGTGTGTGAACAAATATAAAACTTGAAATATTTTAAACTAACAAGGTCATTCCCAGAATGAAATTCCAAATCACTTGTTGCTTTGAAAGTATTTTAAGTTGCTTTCTAGCTCGTTCTTTTTCACAGCAGATGATGTGAAAGTTTATTAAATTTATTTCATAACAAATGTTTAATTTCAGGTTTAAAATTATAATCACTTATGGAAATTGAGACGTTCACTCATGTTGTGTTTGAAGGGTCATGAGCTGGCCTCATCTGTCTTTCCAGATAAGTATCACTGAATCCGAAGAAAAAGCTAGTTGAAAAATGCAGAAGATTTGTAGTTGAAATCTGGACAAATTTTGACCATCTCTAGTGCAAAGCAAGGCTGAGCTGGGATATCTGATGCCCACTGACTGTGCACTTGAGAATTCTGGCTGAGGATTGAAACTCTGCTGGCTGAGGAGTTATGCAAACTGAGAAGAGTTTGGATCACAATCATTTTATATGGACGGAGAGAAGCTGGTAGCTGCAGCCTTTAAAGAACAGTGGCAACAGGAACAATAAGCTTAGAAGGATATTTCATTTAAATGTAGGAGAACTCAATGCACTGAGTGCCAAAATAGAAGTACAGTACTGTGTAATACAGAACCATATTTTAAGCTTGACCTCTGCCAGTCTACACCTGCCTGCGTGCTCATACTGATCCATACAGACATACTTTTCAGGTGCAAACACATACATGCCTGCTTGTTTGAAAATTCTAACACCTGCACATTTGTGTGTGTGTTCATGAATCCATGGAAGTGTCAGAATTTTCACCCACAAAACAACTTTCACTTAATGGGATTTGCAGATGTCCATTCTAACACATGTCCATATTTCGCTGCATATGCCAGTGCATACATTTGTGTTTGCATATATGTGCATGCAAAGGCTAAAAATTAGGCCCAAATATGTTAGAAACAAAGAACGGTGAACATAAAATAAACAATCATCTACTATAACCTCCCAGAAGAAATGAACACATTCTTTTAAAGACTCAGTTTGCTTTTCAGGATTAAGACAGAAACACTGGCATTTCTAGAATGCTTTCAAGAACTAATCTATGCATTTTAGTATGAATAGGCTAACTCAAGTCTGAGCAGAGATTAATTGAGAAAACATTTTACTGATTATTCGTTTTCTAGCAGGAGTTACTAGTTATTCACTTTTACTAAAATAGCACATAGAAGTTAACAGAAATTAATTATTTGGCTGAGTGTCATACATTATCACAGATTATCCAAACAGTACTGTCAGTGGCAATCTGATGCTTGTCAATGGATAGACTGATGACATGAAACAAACCCCATTCTTCAAGTACAAAAAATTCCAGCAGCAATAATAATAGCGCACATGCTATTGAAGATAATCATTCCCTGTTTTTTCTTGGCTAGACCCCTTTTTATTTTTTCATTCTGACTCCAAGTAGGCTTCTTTCCAAATGGGTTTGGTTCATGGTCAGACCACTGGATTATTTCACAGTAAGAAAAAGAGATAAGAGCAATAAGAGCATCTTTAGCTACTGCTGTGCAGAAAACAGTCGTTGAACTGCAAGACATTATCTCTTTGGGGAAAGTTATGAATTCACTCCATGCCATAAACCAACGCATGATTTATGGGCACGCTCATCATTTGGTAAAGTATCAACAGAAAATGGAGAGGCTGACTTTTAGTTTTCAGTGCAAGGATTAGTCTGGCAAAACATTTAAAAGTAAATACTGCCAAATATAACTGTTAACAGAAACGATAGAAACTTATTTGAAGGAAGTGATAGTATTATTAATTATATTGAGTATCAGAAGTGAGAGTAAAGCCATTCCAGTTTTTTTTTAAAGTAGTACATAGCAGAAAGCTTGGGTAATGTTAGTAAAGCCCAAGTATACAAAGCATGGCTCTCTGTCCCCTTCTGTAGGCTGGACCTCAGAAAGGCTTCTGAGTCTGTATTGTCTTTGAGCTATTAGATCAGGGTCTTTTAGTTAAGGTGGTAGAAGCTCATGCTTTTAGATCCACAGAACCAGAGTTTGATACCCACTATTGACAAACCACTCAGTGGCATTGCATAATTAACACAGAAGTAAAAATACTTCTCTGCAATTTTGCTTCTCTGAAGACATAATTCTGATAGGATTCTTCCTTTGGGTCTTAGCTCCTTAGTAAAACAATAGCAGGACTTCCAGAGTTCTTAAAGAATTTCGCCCTTTGAGGATACAATATGAGCCAATTCTCTTGGCCACTGCCTGTAGCGAACAGGTGATGCCAGCCAATTCATTTGGTTGTGCAGAAGACAAAGCTCCCATGATAAGCCAATTCAAAATTAGGTAACACAATATGCTTCAGAGGGAAAAAAAACAATCAAGTACAAGAAAGAAATCCCTTAAAGAAAATAATTTCCACCCTCTGAAGTGACGTGGGCGAATGAATGAAAATCCTGGTGTAAACTGTATCTTCAGGGACGCAGAATTACAGGTACGTAATTTCCGCTTCTCTGTAGATATAATCTGTGAGTATTCTCACTTTTGAGGAGGAGGAAGCTTGAGGAGTGACACACACAAAAAACAGGCAAGGTTGTAACAGCTTCTGCAAAATCTGGAGGAAACAGTTTCATTTCTCATGAAGTTGCTGTCTTGATGCCCCTTCATAGTGGATATGTATCTGAGTCCAGACAGCAGTCCTTATCACCCTGAACTTCTGCCTGCTCTGACTCAAACAGCTAGAATTATGTAGGTGAAGTGGTGGCCTGGAGCACCAACAGAACTTCATAAAGCATTCACATTGCCTTTGCTGGAGCCGCTAGGGAGGCTGCTAGCACTGAGTTCCTGATGCTCACTAGTCTTGGCTGACTCAAGGTTTTTCTTTCAAGGGTTTACACTTTGAATGCTCTAGCCAGATTATTCTGTGCTAGACTTACAGGTGTTTTCCTGGGATGTTCCAAGAGGCTTGAGAGGTGCTCCCCATGTTTCCTTATCACATAGGGTGATATCTGAAAGCAAGTCTAACATTTGTGCACTGGGGTTGACCTCTAGGCACATTGCAAAGAGCATGGTTGTCTATAATGAACATAGTTCTGCTGCATGGCTTGAAGCTGCAGAACAGGGCTCTTTCCTCCTTTGAAGATGGGGTACATAAAAAGAAAAAGTATGCTGGAAACACTAAGTGGTTGCTGATGCAACGAGAAAGGAAAATGTACATTGGAGCCCCAAAACAATAAACACCAACACACTAAAAAAATGCATCTGAGTGCTCAGGCAAAGGTCTCACAATTCAGGCAACTTGCCGAACCAGCTGGATGATTGTAGAAAGAATGAAAAAGATATAAGCAGTGGGAAAAACTGGAGCAATGCAGAGTGCAGTGAGCAAAAATGCCAATATGTTATACAATGGGGATTTATAGTTAACAGTATGTACCTTAGAAAATCTCCATGCTGTTCCAGATATTCCTTATGACTGAGTTATTATTTTCACTGGACACCGATCAAAGATATTTAAGGTCCAAAATACAACTACTTATAGCTGGTGTTTGAAGCTGGGAACAAGCAGTAGCTAAACTTCAGACTTTTAGCATGAGGTTTAACAACAGCAATATTATGTCATCCTAATAAAAGGAGAGACTTCTCAGGACTGGAAAAAAAGCCAGGGTATAGATACCATATATTAATAAGCCATCCTGAAAGGCTGAAGAAAAGCAGTGGTAGCAAAAGGAGTAACACAGCCATCAAATCTAAGAAAATACAAGCTAAAGAAAAAACTGGCAGATCTGACTTATTTATTTAAAATATGGACCTCTTCTCAGCCACAAAGCTTTATCTACTGAAATTAAATCTCCTCTTAGAACTAAAGAATAAAGCTATCTTGGTTTTAAACACAAAAGGTCTTGATCAGGGCTGAGGGAAACTCTAAAAATCTAGTCTGCAAATGGGTTATAAAAAAGGGCACCAAATGCCCTCAGGGCTATGAACCCTGTTCCATATAAAAATGCTTTTAGTTAAAATATTGCCATGTCAATGGGGAAGTATAGCAGGAGGAGGGCCAGATTCTACACTAAAAATTATATAACTGAGAAGACTTTAATGGTTCCTGTTACGAAGGGCAGCAGTCCCCTGCTGACACCATGAAAAACCTATTCTAGTGTGTCTTTAAAAATAAATTTAATCTAATCTGGGACCACAAACCCTGATATGCATAAATCATAATTGTATTCTCACTGCATAGTGTCACTTCAGGGCATAGTGAAGGTGGTTAGATTTCTTTTAAATTTAACCTGAACTCTGAATTTCCAGGACTTATTTATGCTTGATTTGAGGATCATTACAAGACTCCTGTAATGTGTACCCTAATCAAGCTTAATGCATTTTTGTCTTGAAAATATCAGGTTTTTAAGCAGACATTCTAATTTCCACCTATGAAATTTTATCCTGGGATTTGAAATCTGTGTTCTCTGTGGCTAATGCATCATCATCAGTAACAAAGAATATGTCAGTCAAAGCCTGCCCTCCATTACACCAATGCTACACCATTGACTTCAATAGAGTAGTGCAAATGTGTGTGTGAGCAAAAGTTTGCCCTGCAATTGGAGTATAGTTAACATCTCTGATGATGAAATGATCCAACTGCCTCTCCAACAGATGCAAGGCCAACAGGAGGAAAAACTAGTTAAAAAATGTTTTTGTCACTAAAGTGAAAAGATCTGACACTGAACATACACAAGGAGCAGATCTGCTGAGTAAGAATGTTAAATTTGTACAAGGTCACTTCTTAGAGTCAAAACAGTCAATACATTAATAATCTAAGAAGCTTTAGGAAAGAAAAAAGGCATCTAAAGACAGAATGCTGGCCCTTTTTGGTTTACTTAATTCCAATGACTTCTTTTTTTACTCCCCCCTTCTTCCTTTTCTTTTCCACAAAACAAATATAGGTATGTCTTGAATTTGTTTACAGACTACTAGTTAAATGTCAGCATTTGCGAAGTTATCCACTGCAGTAACACAATATTCAGATACACTTTTGATATGAAGTAACTGCAGTATCTGAGACATTTATGTGCTAAACAAAAGAAATAAACTAATTACAACAAAAAATAGCAGAGGCGTTAGGTGCAACATTACAGTATAGCTTCTTCCCTGACCAACCTCAGAGATCTTGAAAAACACACTTCACATCCACTGCTCTCAACAGTGGCCAGGCCATCTTTGATATTAAATTTCTATTACAAAGCTTAATAATTCATATTATTATTCAAATAGCATGTGGGATACAGAATAAGTTTGGTCAAATACATAATAAAGTAAACAACAGGCAATGAAGACAAGTGTTTTGTTCCGGATAACAAGGAGCTACAGATAATTTAGGTCAGCTATCAGAAGCTAGTATAGTCATGTAATGTTTCTTGATTTAGCTATTCCCTTGTGCAAACCCACCATTGAAAGTACGGCATCCATTGCGAAGTGTTACCGAGTTTGGTGGTAAGAATGGTCCTCAGTTGTAAAAACTAAAAAAGAATAAATGCCAGGGCAGCACTTCTGAAAGTGGCAGACAAAGCATATATGCAGGAAAAAAACTGCAGTTAAAACACCTCCAGGCAGTCCAGCCTAGGTGTCTAGGCTGCTTTCAAGAATTATTTTCTGCTAAAAAGAATGCCTAGTATCAGGAACCCAGTAAACTCATGTTATCCTTTGAAAACACGAACAACCTTGAAAGCAGCCCAGTTGTCAGTGCGGAACTGCTGGAGATGAGGCAGCTGGGCTGTGGATTAATTAGAGAAGTGGGAGGAAACACAGCAGATCATAACTAAAGGAAAGGCAACATATTAGCTAATAAAAATGTTTAAAATAAAATAATTTTAATATATTCTCATCTTCAAAGGTATATTACCTCCCTCGGTATGAAGAAACATTAGAAAAATAATAAAATTGTTAAGTGATTTTTAAAATAAATATAAATTACAATTGAACGGCTAAATGTAAACGGACATAGCTCTAATAACTTCAGTGGAACTACTCTAATTTACTCCATCTGAGGATCTGGCCACAATACTCATATCATAATTCAGACTCTTCAGCATGTGCAGTAGCCTTCGATTGAAAAATAGCCCTGATAGCTGAAGATATTCAGAAACATGTAACATGGGATCACAGCAATAAAAATAATGATGTTTCCATGTTATATTCCTTTCTCTGCCACCAATCTTAATCTGCTGAACACTTATAAATGTTTTAAATACCTCTTTTAATACTTCATATAAATGAAACCTTTGCCCTTGCACATATAATACAGTGAAATAAAATAAACTGGATTCTAAGAGTTGATCCCTGGAGTACTCCATCTATTATTTTTAAAGTCTGTATTTATGTTATTTATTTGTAGGTATTTCCATAATTTTGTCCAATTAGAAAAGTGTCTACCTATGACTACTACAAGCTAGCATCCTTGTATTCCATAAATCTCTACCTTAGCCATTAATCTTTGATACAGAAACTTGTCAAATGCTTTTTGAAAATCAAAGTATTCTACATCCAATGAATTTTCCTTATCTATTATGGTAGTATATCTTCAAAGAACTCTAGCAGATTAGTTAAGCATTCACTCCCCTGCCTGAATTCATTCAGGCTAGCTTCAATCAAACCATGTTTTTTCTAGAAGTTTTCCCACCTTATCCCTTAAGATGTTTTCTCAGATTTGCCCACAAACAAAGATAACCTTACTGGTCTACAAGTTTATGGTCAGTCTCTTGACCCGCTTTCAAACAACTAAATTACATAAGGGAATCGAAGGGAGGACAAAAAGAAAAGCCAGGAGATAATAGCACGAAAAAAATGTATAATGGATCTTGTTGAAGCCATGTTGTGTGAATACTACAATAGTTATTACTGAGCTGTAAATCCTCCATAGGAACTGTTGTTTTGTGCTCAACCAACCTCAATATGGAGGAATTTTCATGAAACTATTAATTTATTTGTTTGGCTGAGGTCTTGATTTTGAAAAATTCGGTGTACACATGGTTAGTGGATTCTACCAATCAAAGAAGCAAGTACAGTTTGAATCCAGTACTTAAATCAGACACAATCTCTGACTAACAAAGTGTTAAGTGCTTTGGTCCTCTGTCTGTTGACCAATAGAGCCTGACTATACTGAAGAGGCTGAAAAGTTCAGCTTCTAAAGCAGGGAGCTCCTTGCTTTTTCCTTGTCAAGAGAGTTCTTGATTGGCTCCAGAGGCAAACACAGCCAGTCATTTTGGGGTAAAAGTGGGGAGTGTCTCTGTGCCTGTGTTGAGATACAATGGGATTGGGAAGATTTTTTCCACACTCATTGGAGTTAAACATTTGCCATTCCCTCTCTCTCCTGTATTTCCTCTCAAAATGGTCTTCTTGAGAGCTTTCAAAAGCTGGCAGGCGTTGATACAGAGGCAGAGAGGAGAACATATATATCTGATATCTATTAGAAGAAAACTGTTAGATCACGAGGTCAATTGGCCTGTCATACCTGTTTAAAAAGTTGAAGATTCACTGCAGTTTCCAGGAACTGTTTGGTAGTACTGGAACGATGCTTCACAAAACTGTCCTCACAGAAAGTGATAGGCTCTCCCTAAATTTAAACAGAGCGCATTAGAAGGTACTCCTAGCTATAACCAGTACTGGCACATTTAAAATTCTCCTTCATCAATTTCCCCCCCTTAAAAGTTAGCATGTACAGTTACTGCCCATCAATCAAAGAGGTATTTACTGAATTCAAAAGGAAAGTAGGCAGAGACAGTGTAACAAAACATTGAAAAGACAAAAATGTTGATATCTTTAAAGTTTTCACTAAAATACATTTTGATGGTGACAATGCTCTGCTTGAGTTACGAATCTTAACTACTGTACAAAATTACTCTGATTTAACTGCACTTACACCAATGGCAAAAGCAAGCAGAAATTCTGACTGGACACCAACATGTTATGATTATCATCAGATTATTTGTCTATTTGTTGTGCTAAATATAACATTAATGTGTGTGCAGCTAATTTGATTAAGCAGGAAATAATTATAAAACGTAACTATTTTCTTTCACCAATTTCACTGTCAAATTAAAGACTCCTCCTGTCTTTTCTGGGAGTCATTACATAGTCATACAAAAGGTTTAAAAGAGGTCAGTTGAATTGTTAATGCAGTAAATTGTGTGGCCTTTGGAAAAGAAGGTAAGAATAATGTGAAGAATACTGAGTAGACATGTCAAAAACACACAGTGATGAGACAAGGTAAATATATACAGTATTTACTGCAAGCTAATAGATGCTAATCAAAGTAACTGGAAACAGTAAAATTATATTGTAACTCCTATGTTATCCCTTAATTGCATAAAAGAGTATCTATCTCTACTGTATAGTGACCATATCAAATTACAGGAGGAAGACTCCCCTAAATTATATTATTCTGGTAACTGTTTAATTTCCATAAACTCCACTAGCATAGAGAAGGTTTTAAATATTTTAATACATCAATGTATAGTCTGCATATTATTTCCATGATAATGATTCAGAGAGATATACTGCAGGGAGTATTGTCATGCAGGCACAGGACCTACCCGACAAGAGCATATGCCTTCATGGTTAAAAATAAAAATAAAAAAAAATAAATAAAAAAAATACACCAGGTTGGAGGAGTTTTTCCCAGATTTAGGTAAAGCAGACAATTTGAGGTCCTGCATAAAATATTAGAATACACACCTGACTCAGCTAATAGAACATTTTACTACCACAGACTTTTACACATAGTAAAAGCCCAGAATAGGGTAAAAGATACCTCTGGCATTGGGAAGAAAAAGGATCAGACATTCCTTATGTGGATCCTTACAATAATGAAACAGAGGAGCCTTTCAGACACAAACTGCAGGCCACTTTGAAGACAAACATATTTATGCCAATGATCACTGCCTCCTCCTGCTCCTACTCCTATTAACTCTGGCAACCTTAGGTGCTGCTTTACACAAATTCTCCTAAATTCTAGTTTACAATGTAGTTCAATGCTTAAGGATTGAGAGAATGAGTTTCCCTCATGTGATCTGTCAGCACATTACTGAGTTTGTCCAAAAGTATCCCTAAATCATCTTCAAATGATCTTTATGTTATATTTATTTGTAAATGGTAAGAATATTATCTAAAGAGCTGTTACATTAAAGCAACTGACATGTCATTTTAAAACCCTGTTTTGATATTTTCAAGTGCTCCCTTCCATATTGATTTTTCAAAGACTAGATCTTGGATGCCTTAGGCTCCAGTTCATCAAAGCACATAAGAACATAGTTAAGTTCATCCCTATTCAGCCCAGCACTAAAGTACATGCTTCGTTTTTATAGTACAATCCTCCCTTCTTCGGGGGGTGGACGGAAAGCTGTGGTGCACGATCCCTTTTCAGTGCAGTACTTGGTAGCTCACCAGCTATACCATGTCTCAGGGCAAACAATTTAAGTTGCCTTAGCTACTAGGCTGTAGTACATATTGGATCTGAATAAGCAATCTACCAAATATCTTCAAAATGTCACCATCCCCCCCAGGTGCCCCAGATCATCTGCCTCTCTGACCAACTCATCACCAACCAGCCCCCCAATTCCACAGAATCTTTCTTTGTTCAGCAGATTTGTCACAAAAGATCACAACAGCTGAGATAGCAGAAATGCTTAAACTGAATCCTCAGATTTAAATGGCTGCAAACTGGAAGCATGATGTCTTTGAGAGAGCATCTCCCGTCTGGAACTTACTTCCCCCATTTGTTCAATACATCACAAGTACACTGCAAGGTCCACCTCTTTACATAGGTCTTTACCTGAGGAAGTGACCTGTGGCACACTTTTGGGAATGGAAAGTTGTTGATTCTTTTAGAGACATTGAGTCAGCTTGTAATGATTACTCTTTAATATGTACATGCACCTAGAAATTTCAAAGAGGCATATTTTATAAATAAAAAAAGCATCTAAAACTGCATGTAGAGAACAGCTATTCCCTCTGATGCTACCAACATATGCCAGGGAAGTACCATAGACCCTCAAACTCAGGACACGACAGGTAAATAACTAAGAAAATTATTTTCAAATATTTTGTTTTGAAAATGTAAGGACTAAACTATGCCCCCAATGTGTAAGAGTACTGAAGAGAGGAAGTGAGCACAAATGAATTTTTTCCTTCCAGTGCATCCATATAGGAGAGGCTAGGTCCCAGTATAAGAGGAAGTGTAAAGCATCGGTGGAGGAGTGGCTAGTAATATCAAAAGCATTAGCAGCCTAAGAGATGTTAGCTCTATGGCACCGTCATACCTTTGTGATGTGATGACCTTGTTGGGGAGGGTGCTTCATACATATTTTTGAAGCATAGAGAGGGTTGTTCCCCAGCAGGCTTTTTCTAGCATCCATGGGGACATAATATTTGCAGTAAGCACTGGTCTATCTGCACTCCCTTTGCAGTGCAACTCAGATTCACAAACAGAATAACTGTATGTTAAATGTAATTTTATTTAGATCCATAAACAGTTTACATTGAAAAACAAAAGCCTTTAAGAATACATTTATGTATTGTTATTCTCACCTGCTTAAAGCAGGCTTGCTTTAAAAGTTTCACCAGTTTGAAAGATTCTACTCAGGAGATCAAAAATACAGAATAAGAATTCCTTTAGAACCAGCAGAATTTTTCAAATCAGTGCAATTATTTTCAGGGCATCCCTTGTACTTCTGAAACTCCATCTAGCAATTTAACTCACACCACAGTTATTCAAGCCCATATGTCTTGTATTTTATTGGGTAAAACATTTTGATTAACATAAGATTGCATAAGGAATAACCCTGAAGTACTGTAATTCTAAAAGGATTCTGAAATGATTTATTATAAAAAGTAGAACGAATTACTAACTATGAATAAAAATATTTATATCAGTTTTCTGATATGAACTACACATTTCTAACAGATTTATTTTTACAAATACTATTGAATAAATTCAGAAACTTTGAGTTTTGGAGGAATGTTTCACTGATATTTAACTAGCACACAGTCCATTAGCCACTTTAGTATTGATCTACAATGTACTTTCAAAGCAAGTTCGATCAAAACCCAGTAGGGATTCTATATTGAAAAGTAGACAGCTAATACTCAGACCAAACAATCTATGCCCATACAAGATATCTGTCCTTTTAACAACAGTGGCTATAGAATTTTTTTGCCCTTTTATGGGTTGCCGCACACAGCAGGAATCAGTTCCTCTAAGCTGCATTCGCATTTTCATTAAGCTATTTATACAGACTCAGATGGAACATTCAAGTTAAACATAAAACATGAAGCTAAACCTATATGATTATATTAAAATCAAAATCAATCTTGGTTAGCAGAGATACTGTTGCTTTCCAAATCTATTAATATTTAACTACAACAATAAATACATATTTCAATTATTTCCATGCATAGAAGTAGTTCAGAAATTTCTTATTTGGTTTTCTTTTCCTACCAAAAAGATGCGACACTTGTAGCAGTTGCTCATTATCGTTAATATTAAAGCTTATTTAACATATTTAATACAGTTTTGGTATACAGTAACTCTATGTTGGTTACATTATGAGAACAAGCAAAACTGTAGTCTCCAACTCTGCATTAACCAAACTCTGAGTCTTTAAAAAACATCTCTACTTTTACGTTATAACATTGCACTTTGTAACAAGAGAGCATCTAATAGTACCAGGATGAAAATACCACAATTACTGGCATTCTCATGGCACCTTAGTAGATAAAGATCCAGATAGTAACCAAGAACAAAGCCGGACTTTATTGTTGTTTCCATTTGGGATGGTGCCAATAAAATTTACAAATAAATGTCTGAGTTTAAAGTCCTCTGTCATCAATGTTATTTACCTAATGCAAAATCTAGATTACCTGGCACTTCCTGGAATCACAACTAAGCCATACATACTGAAGACCCTACAGGCCCAAAGGATGTTTACCCTGTAAATGAAGTTGTGGCCCTTAATACAATCCTCAAGCTAAAAATCTTACAGGGGGGCTTAGGGTCAAGCCCGAGAGTCCTGCACCTAATCAAAAGGCCTATTCTTGCATCGGATTTTCTTTCCTCCAAAAGTGCTTTAGCTGCAGCCACTGCCAAACCCAAACCCAAGCCCAAATTCTGGGAGAAGGGTTAAGGCAAATCAGAACCCATTGCAAGGTACTCCTGTCCTCTAAACGATAACAATCAAATTCTGAAACATAAGCCTAAATAACCAGAAGCAAATATTTCCCCACAGACAAGTGAACATGTATGCCATGCTGAAGGTGTAATACACCTTGCTGGTTAAGAACCAGGGTATAAGAACGGGGTATAAGAATAGGAATCACCAATCCCAAGCATTAAATATACCCTAATACTAGTCAGCTAATATCTCTTTTCAGGGTATAGAAACTTCTTGCTTAACCAGGTATGCCTATCTCCAGTCTGTGTTCAGAACAGGAAAGGTTGTGTAAGCAAAACAGATTGATTCTGGCAAAAAAGAGGGTGAATGTTTGTAATGAATGGGAGTGGAAGTCTATGCTTTTTAAGGACTAAACATCACATCATGAAAATAAGCAAAGGAGAAA